TCATAAATTACTACATAAATACTATAGAATTCTACTGTAATTTATCAAACTTAGTAACTAAGCTGTATTTGGGTCTAAAAAGATATGAAATTTCAAGCAGACTAAGGACACAACTTATCTCATTGAAATCTTGATTTTAAAGAAAGAAGTGAAGTTAGGTACGTTAGAAAGACTTAGAAAACCACTATGGGGACATTCAGAGCTTTCGATTGATTATCCATGTCATATATAGAAGTAAGTGTATACAAAGGAGCATTTCTAAAAATGAAAAGAAGTGAATGGGGTGTCACTGTGTTTGATTTATTATGTGAGCAATTTCTTAGCAAATAGAAAAGATAAGACCTTCTTATTTTATATTCTAGCTTGCCAGTATCTTTAATTTGAGTTTCTAATTGGTATGAAACTATAGACTTGGTATTTTGACTTCACAAACATCTAATTTGAACCAGTGCTGCATTCAATATACCACGTGACACACAAAAATCGATGTTTATCTATGTTTTTTAATATTTACTTTAAAATTAACAAATTGGGTAATGTACAGTTCTAAAATTTGATACCAAACTTATTGACATAAATTCATAATAAAACTCTGAATGTGACTAAACAAACGAGATAACATGGCCTTTCACCTGTGACCGTCTCAAAAAGGTTAACAGGGTTAACTTCTACATATTGTATTATCTATCAATCCTTGTACGTTTTTGGTACAAAGGAATTTATTTTTTCTGTCATTATAATTCAGGAATCTGCTGAATTATCATGTTAATGTACAACCTGAACATTGATATATCACTTTAGCAACAAGACACAAGTGAAGACTGACTTAGGAACTTTTATGCTCATTTGATCTTCACTAATAATATGCACTGAAGACAGTTGATGCCTTTTTATCATCTGACCTTAGAACGTTAATATTTTATATAATGTTTAATCCATGTTTGTCTGTCATTCTATCAGTAAGGTACTTTTAGGTGATGAATGGATTAATAACAACATGGACAGTGAAGTGTGTCTGAATCACTTAAAAAGGAGATGAGAATTCATAGTATATTAAACCAGTAAATAACATATAGGCATTTCTGGATTTTTAAGCAAACAATGTTTTGACAGGAACACTAAGATAAAAGTGGATTGTTTGAATCATGACAGTTAATAAAAGCAATTTGATATCTTAAAATTTGGGTGATCTTCTCAGATATTCAACATTTATTTACTTTGAATAACTGAGAGAAAACCAAATTATCAAAACATTTTTTTAAACATACATAGATAAAAACTGTGCCACTGAATTCCTTGAGACCATGAAAATTATAATAACTCAGAGATATTTGTAAATTACTCACTGAAATGATTAAGCAAGTTTCTAAGTTGAAGTATGAATTCTAGAACCCTAAAAAGATCATGGGAATACTAAGATATAAAAGTAGCACCTGGAAGCTAGTACAGTAAGTAGATTGCTCAATACATGAGTCAAGTGTATAGTAAGTAGATTGGTCAATACATGAGTCAAGTGAATAGTAAGTTGATTGCTCAATATGTGAGTCAAGTGAATAGTAAGTTGATTGCTCAATATGTGAGTAATGTGTAGTAAGTTGATTGCTCAATATGTGAGTAATGTGTAGTAAGTTGATTGCTCAATATGTGAGTAATGTGTAGTAAGTTGATTGCTCAATATGCGAGTAATGTGTAGTAAGTTGATTGCTCAATATGCGAGTAATGTGCAGTAAGTTGATTGCTCAATATGTGACTAATGTGTAGTAAGTTGATTGCTCAATATGTGAGTCAAGTGCATAGTAAGTTGGTTACTCAGTACCCGAGTTCAGTGACATTACTTCGTGAAAGGCTGCAATGAAGACTACATATTCTAACTCTTTATATTTTACATTTATTATTTCTGTATGCCCCTTGTATTGTTATCTATCAGTCAAATCTTCAAGTATCAAATTGTTATTTACATGTGAAATACTTAACTTTCATATTGTTTTTTACAGGTCTAACTTATAAGTATAGAATTTTATGTACAAATATATAATCTGTAAGTTTGATATTCTTACTTATATAAAATTACCTGATAAATGAGTTTAAAACTGCACTTAATAACCGTTTATTAAATGCAATTTTAGTTAAAGGCACATTAGCATCAATAAACTTTATAAGCAATTTCTAAGGGCAACACAGTAGGCCAAATATGTTTATCCCTAAATAAACATACTTTCAAGCTAGAAAATGTCTCAATCTAAAACACTGGCATGAAATTGTATTACAATAGTTGGATAGTGAGTTGGGTTGTGACTTAGCTTGCTGCTTTCCCAGTTTAACAGTAGCATAGCTTACCAGTAGTTTGGATTGTTGTTTCTTTAGCTTATTTATGGCTTCGATTGCTGTTTCTTTAGCTTACTGATGGCTTGGACTGTTGTTTCTTTAACTTACTGATGGCTTGGATCATTATTTCTTTAGCTTACTTATGGCTTGGATTGTTGTTTCTTTAGCTTACTGATGGCTTGGATTATTGTTTTTTTAGCTTACTTATGGCTTGGATTGTTGTTTCTTTAGCTTACTGATGGCTTGGATTGTTGTTTCTTTAGCTTACTGATGGCTTGGATTGTTGTTTCTTTAACTTACTGATGGCTTGGATTGTTGTTTCTTTAGCTTACTGATGACTTGGATTGTTGTTTCTATAACTGACCAGTGACTTGGACTGTTGTTTCTTTAGCTTACTGATGGCTTGGATTGTTGTTTCTATAACTGCCCAGTGGCTTGGACTGTTGTTTCTTTACCTGACCAGTGGCTTGGATTGCTGCTACTTTCTTAGTTTAACAGTGGAAAGAGTTTCTGCTTCAATAGAGTTTACAGTAGCAAGTGTTGCTGGTTTTCTAGTTTAACAGTAGCAAGAGTTGCTGTTTTACTAGCAAACTGTGGCAAGGGTTGCTGGTTTCATAGTTTAACAGTGGTAGGAGTTTCTGCTTCAATAGAGTTAACAGTAGCAAGTGCTGCTGGTTTTCTAGTTTAACAGTAGCAAGGGTTACTGGTTTTCTAGTTTAACAGTAGCAAAGGTTGCTGGTTTACTATCTTAACTGTGGCAAGGGTTGCTGATTTCATAGTTTAACAGTGGTAGGAGTTTCTGGTGTCATAACTAGTCAATGACAAAGGTTGCTGTTTTCATATTTTAACTGTGGCATAGGTTGCATGACTCACAGTTTTATTTTTTTGTGATAAGCATTGCTTTTCTGCTGTGCAGGTTGCTTTGCTGGTTTTCATAGTTTTAATCAGAAGTAGGAGCTATTGGTTTCATAGTTTGACAGTAAAAATGGTTGCAGATTGCATAGCTTATTTGTAGTGTGGTCTACTGGTTTCATATGTTATAAATGGTATGACATAGGATGCTGATCTCATAGTTTTATCAGCAACAAGAGACACAGGTTTTATAGTTTAACAGTGGTTATGAGTAACTAGCTTTGGTTTCTTACTCTAACAGTGGTAAGGCATAGGTTGCTGGTTTCATAGCTTATCTGTTACATATGTTGCTGGTTTTATAGAATTAAAAATGAAAAATGCTGTAGGTTTGACAGCATGGTAGTATGAGTGACCAATTTAAAAATACAGCAATAGCAATATTACTCATTTTAAAGCTAAACAGTAGTTAGGGTTGTTGGTTTCATATCTAAACCTATACAAACACCTTATACGACTCATGCTTAATTAGAAAAGAAAAGAAAACCACAGAAAAAAAAACTTTAATGACCTAACTCAGCAAATGTAATGTATCACTTGATAATGCTTAGCTAAGGGATATCTTGTGTATGATGTTTTTCTAATAAAGCTTATATTATTTCCATTTCAAGTTTTTGCATAGTACTTTACATCCAAACCAGCATGCTTTCAATTCACAGCTAAACAGCAAGAGTTGCTATTTTCACTCATCTTTTACACAGGTTGCTGGTTTCTTTGCTTTAACCAAGTACAAGGACTGTTAATTCCACATCTAAACAGTAGCACGTATTGTTGGTTTCTCTGGGTCCTGATCTTGAGCATACAAAACTGCATCATGGATGGTGGGAAAGATGACTGGGAGAGTTACTTTAGAGAAAAATCCAGATCTATCCAGAAGCTCATACATTGGAACTGAGAGTAACACAAATAATTATAAGACCAAGAAAATACCACTAAAAGAAAACAAAAAGCCTACTAATGAAACACAGAATCGACTATCACCTGAATTTTAAAACAATACAACAAAATCAACATGAAAAACTGAATTAATTTAAAACCTAGTCTTTTATGTTAAATATATCATAATTAACTTATGAACAATACAACAAAATCAATCTAAATATATGAAAAACTAAATTCATTTAAAACTGTCTTTTATGTTAAACATATCAGGATTAATAACATATTTAGAATTTTGTCCATTCTCATAAACAATAAAACAACAGTACAAACTGAAACACAAAACACACAAAAAATTGTCCCTGTTGTAAACCTAGAATTATAAATTATTCACATAGACCATATTAACATTTTAACCTCATTTTTTTAACTATGCATGTACCAAAGTGTTTTGATGTCTATAACTTTCTTAGCTTCAGGTTCCCTGTGAGTCATGTAAAATAAAAACGAATACCATTAATATTTCAATTAATCCCATTAACTACTGCTGGGATTCCCTACGTAGCTTACACAGAAAATAAATGATTGCACCTAGTTGTTTCAGTTAGTTCTTTACATTGAGTGTTGAAAAAGCAAAAACATAAGACTATTCAGTATGATGAAATACTTGTACCCTACTGGTAGTCAATGGAATAAAAACTAAATGTTAATTGCAGAGTGAAACACTATGTAACAAATGATAGAATCTACAACAGAGCATAACCAAGTTTTTCTTTTATGTTAAACACTACAAAAACAAATTTAGAATAAAAATAACACATACACACAGATCTTCCTCTTGTGTCACACATTAAATGAACGTACAAGAACAAAGTTAGAAGCACAGGAAATACACACTTTTTCTTTGTTAGATAAACTACAAGAACACACTGGAATAAAAATGAGAACACACACACACATGTTCATGTTGTGTTACAAGCAAAAGTGAAAATACACATCTGTTTGTTAGTTAAACATTACAAGAACAACATTACAATAAATAAGAGAACTTATACATCTACAACATCAGAACCAAAAAAAGAAAACACACACACACACCTGCTTGTTATATTAAACACTACAAGTGCACTGTTATAATATTAAACAAAAGAGTATACACACACTTTCCTGTTATGCTGAACACTACAAGAACAATATTATAATCAAAAATAGAACACACACACACACACACATCTTCCTATTATGTTAATCACTAAAAGAACTACAAATTGAAGATAAATACATTTATTTTTTTTAAACACCCAAGAAAAAAATTACAATTGAAAAAAAGAACACAAACACATCTTCTTGTTATGTTCAACACAATAAGAACAGCACTAGAATTAAAAAGAAAACACATGCATCCATATCTGTTGTGTTAAACAGTATCAAACCAACACTATAAAACAAAGAAAGCAGAAAGTTCCTCCTACGGTGATAAACAATACAAGACAAGAACTGGATTCTAAAAAAATGGAAACAAAAACTATTTTTTTTGTTTTTTTAACACTAAAACAAAAACAGTGGATTCTAAAAAAGAGAAAACACATTTGTCTGTTGTCAATGGTTGCTAAAGAAAACCTGGAGCAAAACAAAGATGAGGATTTATTTTATTGTTTGTAGTTAAGCACAAAGCTACACAATGGGCTATCTGTGTTGTGCCCACCATGGGTATCAAAGTCCAGTATTAACATTTCCCTTACCTGAAAATGTATTTCCAATAGAGAGTCACCTTCACACACTGAATAGCTTCTTACCTCTTGAAATCATGCATTCTGCCAAAGAGATTATCAAGCCACCAGTTTTCTGAAAACTCCCACCTAGTTTCACATGAAACCATGTGAACTTACACCACTGCAAAATGATATCATCATGCAGTAGAACCCTCAACCAACAGGAGTGTGACACACCTCCATGCACAGTGACTCCCTCTACATTCACACTTGTTTTCTGATGAGGTAATAATGAAATGTGCACCGGAAAAGTGGAGAGGATGGGTGGGAGTGTGTGAGGAGGTGTGTAGCTCTTAGAAATATATTTTCAGGTAAGGAAAATGTTACCTTCCGAAACAAATACTCACCTCTAGACACAGAATAACTAGAATCCCACATTAAAATGGTGGAGAGATTAGTGCAAAGATTACCTAGATAAGCTCCCTTCAAAAAGCAAACCTATGATGGGTGATACCGGATAGCAGGGGCTCCACAGGAGCACACTTGTGGAAGACCACATCTAATATCGTTCATAGTATATGCTTTGTCTATGTAAGAGAATGGAAGAGGCAAAAAACCATAATTGTGTCACAATGATGGGTGGAATGGGTACTTGCACACAAGTTGTCGGACAGCCAATATGTGTAGTGAGGTTGGAGCATGTTCAGACCATCACTTGTGTGCTCACCTCCTCTACCATCAGCCTCTGCAGGAAGAGAGCACTGTGTAGAAATATCTGTAAAGATATTTATATAAACTTCTTCTCAACCATCAGTCACTATGAGCCCCATGCTTGTTGTGGGAATAGGGTGTAGGTATAAACAATGTGTTCACCTCAACTCTATCATCAGTCTCTATGGGTCCCATGCTACCTTGGAAGCTACCTTGTGGAGAACTAAGAGGCCATTAGTTACTCAGAGTCATCCTTAGCTTATAAGTAACTAACCTTAAAATATTTAGGTATTTGTTCAGTATACCAGGACAGAAAGACCAACTTCAGGTAGCTGGGCTTGTCTCAGCTCACCTAGTTTATACTTGAACAACATTTTTAAGAGAAAGGGAGGAGGATGGCAGTTTAAGAACTATTAAGGTAATGGTTTTTAGTTCTGTTTAACATTACTTTGTAATTATTAAATGAAAGGGTGTCTTGTAAATTGTAGAATTCTGAATCCTTCCAGAGATGAGAGAACCAAGTGGTGTAGATGGAGGGTGACAAAGGTGTTTGGGACAGTCTATATGCCAGCCTGGAGAATTTAATCTAAAGGACAGTGAAAATGTTCAGCAAAATAATGTGTAAGGTGTTGAATCTGATGAGAAGAAAAAAAAAGTGGCAATCATCCATCCCCCAAAGAGGAGTAACCAGACTGATGAGCTGGTGGATCCATTTTGTAAGGGTGGTAGGCAAGAGGTTTCTAGTAGAGGAGGAGTCACAAAGAATGAAAAGAGTGATGTTGGGTGAAGGCCCACATAATGTAACTGAAAAAATATGGGGCTGATGCTATACCAAACAGAAGAGCAAGGAGCTAGAAAATGCGATCCCTGTGGACAAATCAGAGAAAATGTGAGGACAGGGTGATTGGGATGTGGAGAAAAGCATCTGACACATCAACCTTGGTCATACACAGGATGGGTTGGAAAGACCAATGGTGAGAGAAAAACATTCTCCATTGGAAAATGTGGTATGGCTAAGAAATGATTGAAGGAGAAAAGTCAATAATCAGGTGCCAGTCTATTTGGAGACAACAAAGAGGAAGGAGTAAAAACCTGGAGAAAACTTGTGAACCCTCTCGATGACCTGTTTTTCCAACAAATCTGACACCATACCTTCCAGATGTTGAAAGTAAGTAAGATCAGATGGGTGGTCAAAGGTGACAGGTTGGGATAGAAGAGATGAAGAAGTATTGAGAAGAGAAATACTGTGGGAAAGAACCAGAAAAACCCAAATGTTGGCAGAGAAATGTGTTCATGAGTTTACAAGCTGAGACAGACCAGCTCCCAGAATTCTTGAACCAACTCGATGGTCAGCATCTATTAGGCCAATGAGTGAGATATTGGATGGAAGTGGGATGGGAGGAGGTGTAAGGTCTGGACACAGGAACAGAACAAGGTGTGGGAGAAGAGCCAGGGCAAGGGACAGAGGTGGAAGGAAGAGGTTGGAACAAATAGCAATCTAAGGAAGTAAGAGAAGATTGGGAGCAAGCAGCTTTAGCCTGTGATTCCACAGGATCAGGGACATCACCAAAACCTCTGGATGAAGAAATGGAGAAAATGAAGGTTCCAAAGAAAAAAGCGAGATGAACTGGAAAAGTAGGGTATCCCTTCTCAAAAGGTCCCAACAAAAAAGGAACCATGTGAGAGAAGAAAGAGCAGAGAAGGTGGAATGTGCCATTGTAGAGAAAAGAAAGGATCTAGAGTTCCCTGAAAAGTCATCAGGGAAATGGTGTAGGGCTTCTGTCATGTGGTGAAGGGAGGAGAGGTACTGAGAAAGGATAGTGAGAAAGGTTTGAAAGTGAAAAAATTGTGCACTAGACAGAAAGTGAGCTGATAATAAATCTGGGGGGGGAGATTCATTATTCATATCCAAATCCTAGATGTCTAAAGGCATGGGAAGTTTTTATGACCACATGCAAGGACATAAGAATCAGTCAGGCGAGGAGGTACAAAGCATAAGATTGCAGAAACGAAGTTGATCCAGAAAGGAATTGGTATGGATAGCTATATCTGGGGAGGAGGGAGGAAGAAAAAGAAATCGCAAGAAGAGCTATGTAAAAGAGAACAGGAAGAGTCAATGGAAATGGGAGTGAAAAGAACCGTACAAACCTAAGAAATGAGGTTTTGAAAATCAGTGGGTAGAGACATTCCCGAAGCAAAACCTGGGGGTGGAAGAAGGTGCTCAAATTCATCTACCACAACTTCAGGCTCAAAAGAATGGGAAAGGAAATGAGTGGAAGGGACAGAAGCAGAGAATACAGGTTACATAATGGACCCCACCACACAGTGGACAATGGCCGTCACATCTTCCATAGATAAAGAACTTCCCCTGGTAATTACTTCAGTGTGGGTAAATTCTTCACTCACATCAGCAGAAATATAGTTTGCATTATATTGTGGGTTCATATTGAGCATAATTAAACTCAGTCTAGTGAAATAATGAAAAATTTACAAATCTCAGCAAAGACAGAACACGTCAGTGCACTACACTGCTGAAAAAAGAATGAGGATTCACGAGCATGAATTTAGATTAAGTCATTGCACATGAAGGTGTGTTGCATTTCTATTCGTGGAGGATTGTACTGCATGATGTCATCATGTAGTGGCACAAATTCATGTAAGACTAGGTGGAAGTTTTCACAAGGCTGATGATTTGCAAATCTCTTTGGCAGAATGTGTGATCTCAAGAGGAAAGAAGCTAATCTAATCGTATAAACACTAGAAACTGAGCATTTGAACAGCTTGCCTATTATTTTTCTTCAATTTTAGCATTTCAACCTAATCTTTTAAAACTACATTTAAATAGAATAAAATTAATAAAGACATATCTTAACTTCAGAAATAAAACAAAAACTACCTGAACAAGCTGCTAAAGAAATTGCAATTTCATCTTTCTTCATCTCTTTGATGACCTACAGATAGAAAATAAATTTAGAAAGTGTTCAGAAGATGCATATAATTTCATTTCAAAAAATTGTAAACAACTAATAAATGTTGTACAGCCATGATGGTTAATTTTAAATAAATAAATTTTTCCAGTAAATGTGATAGTTACATGTGGAAAGATAAATATATAGAATGTGGCAATTATGTGCATATGGAAGAATATGTAGTGATTACCTGTAGACAGATACATATATATCATGTGGTAGTTAACTCCAGACAAAATAAATATGTAGAATGAGCTAATCATCTGTAGGCATATACAAATGTAGTGGTTTATAAAGATATATATATATATATATATATATATATATAAAGAATGTGGTATTTATTTGCATACAAATGGATTTGTGGTAGTTAATTCTTGATATATGAATATACAGATTGTGGTAGTTACTTGCACACAGATAACTGGAGAATGGAATACATAACTGGGGGTTATATGTAGAGAAATCAGTACACAGAATGAGATACATATTTGTACATAAATAAAGAAAAGATAATTATATGTAGAAGTGAATAAGTAGAAAGAAGTACTAACATGTATACAGCTACAAATTTGGTAGTTACATAAAGACAGACAAATACGAAGAATGGGATCATTATTTGTAAACAGATGAACGAGTGTGATTACTTGTAGAATGTGGTACTTAATCTTTGATAGATAAAAATGTAGTGGTTACTCCTTTAGAGATAAATAGGTAGGATGAAGTAGTTATTTGCACACATGTGGTGACTATTTGCAGACAGATAAGTGTTAATTATCTGTACACAGTTGAATAAGTGTAGTACTTTTCTTATATCAGAATAATGTAATCTGATACCAATACTCTTCAAAGTACTATAATAAAGCTACAACAGCTTCTTAAACATATAAAGTTTTTATGCACCAACTTGCTTATGGGTACATGAATTTGTTGGTTACAGGCCTATAGTAACATATGAGTCACATAAAAAAAAATCAAATGCAGACAAAAATACTATCATTATTTTAATTAATCCCACTAATTACTGCTTGAAGATAGCTTTTATATGCGGAAACATCTGTTAGCTGAGTTCTTGCACTGATCTTAAAATATAACGTTGATAAATGGAAACATCGGCACATGTAGATACGTAGATCTTGAAAGTCGAGTTATTCAAAACTTTAAAATAGCATTGATAACTGGACCAATTGTTGGTTGAGATGTTGCAAAGGAAATATTTGCTGAAGCTTTTGCCAAACACTAATCATAGCAGAAACGTCCATTTATCAATGTTATATGGGTCCATGACTTTGTTGGTTATAGGATCCCTAATGATATATGAGACATACCAAAAATCTAAACAAAAATACTGTTATTACTCCAATAATTGAAAAATACAACAATATGGTGAACTTTCCCTTACCTCCAAAATCACTTCTACCCCGGTAGCATCAAGGTAAGAAATGGAGGAACAGTCTATAACAATATGGTGAAGTTTCTTTTCCTTTTTCTTTTGAACATATTTTGCAGCTTTGTCATTGACTTCACCAATGAGTAAATCTTCCACTGGAGGGCTACATTGTAGATAAGACTTTACTTTACTGGCAAGTATTAATTATATTACCAATTATATTTTTAAATGAAAAATAGAACAGAAACAGAACTTCTAATTTTATGAACTGAAGGTTCTAAATTCTGAAATACAGCACAAGGGCACTCATTTTTAGTGTTTAGTAAGACTCCAACATGACAGCTAAACAATGCTTGCAAAATGACCGTGTTTTAAAAATATATATAGATATTTATATAATATCGCATTACTATTATCGGTCAAGGTTGTTAACTTATTGTCATAATGAATAATGTTCTATTATTAAAAAGATAAACTGAAAGATAATGGCTGTAAAGAGAGGCAATTAAAGAAATACCTTACCTTATATTTTAATAAATACAAAAATATTTTAAAACTAAACTATCGATTAAGGAAAATATCTTATAAAAAAATAAATAAAATTTAGAGGGAGTTAGTTACTTTAGCTTATAACTAGCTAATAGAAACATTTTCAAGTAATTTTATCCAGTATAACTGGGATGGAAAAACTAACTTCAAGTAGCTGGGCTTGTCTCGGCTTTGAATAAATCTTCAGGATAAAGGAAGGAGGTTGGGAGTAAAAACTATATAAGAACTTTTAATGTAGGGGTGTATAGTTCCTATTTAATACCTTATAGTTCCATTCAATATTTTGTAGTTCTTTTTAATATCTTATAGTTCTATTCAATATTTTATAGTTTTATTTAATAGCTTATAGATCTATTTAGTTCTATTTAATATTTGATAGTTCTATTTAATATCTTATTGATCTATTTAGTTCTATTTAATATCTTATTGATCTATTTAGTTCTATTTAATATTTGATAGTTCTATTTAATATCTTATTGATCTATTTAGTTCTATTTAATATCTTTTTGTAAGGGTGGAGGTTGGGAGTTTAATTTGTAAAAATATTAGGGTGGCTTCATTTCAATTCATTTCTACTTTAAGAAAATTAAGGGTAACTGACTTCCTACAACTGGCTATAGACAGAGAAAGGCAGTAGAAGCTAAGATGTTGTGGATGTAAGCATTTAGCTTTGTACTCTTATTCAATTTTTTATGATTTTCCATGATGGCTGACTAGATTTACATCAGCATATGGATTTTGTCTGATAGATGGGATATCCTCAATGCATTTGGGTGCTATTACCATAGACATTATCCATTATGACAATAAGTTGACAACCTGGACCGATAATGGTATTGCGATATTTAATTCATTATTGTTTTATAGTGATGATTTAATTGCCTATTAACAATTAATGTAATCAATAGTTTATGAGCTTTTTATTTATATAATACATATTTTAGCTTTAAGAACTCAAGCAATAGGCTCAGGTTGTTCAACCAAGTCTCTATATAGTTGTTGAAGAAAGAGAAAAACTTACATTTCTGCTGATGCTTCATCAACAGATATCTTTTTTAAAGCTGATAAAAACACATGTCTGTTCATGAAATAAAGAGCTGACCCAAAATGGAAGATTTTGATTCCTGGTATTTCTTCTAACTAGAAACAATAACATTGAACTGTAATATAGTCAAGGAAAATGCACTGATCTTTTCATTCAAAATATACCACTACTAACTGTTGTAGAAATGTACTTCACCTACATATTTTTAGAGTCGGTGAAAATACTCAAGTAAATATGAAACCCCTTACATGGTCCTCTCAGAGGTTACAAGTTCACTTTTTTCCATAAAATTTGCAGGTCAGGTAACAAAAATAAAAGAATATTATAAGTGCATAATTAATAAAATGTCTTTTTTTTTAGGAAAAATATTATTTAAACCTAAAATACACTTTCAAACCTTAACATTAAACTCAAATGTGTAGTTAAACTATGTTAATTCTTTACTATAACTCTAGTAAACTGTATAGATGTAATTGATTGAATTAAGGTAAAACATATTTAAATGGAAAAATAAGGAAATATCTTAAATGTAAACTTCTTTACCTCTAAAAATTAATATCATATAAAATCTTGATATATATATATATATATATATATATTATTTATGTGACCATTTCAGTGGCTATATGCTTTTCTGTTTTATACTTTTTATTACTAAATAAAATAATAAAGCTAAAAATTTAAAATATCTTTTGTATTTACAAAAACAGAATCACAAAATTAATAAAACTTTTATCAAATACATTTTAAAGAATGTCTATTTGTTCATAAAAAACAGGTAAATCAATAACTATTGTTATATAAAAACGGTACATATTCATCCAGTTTTTGTCGAAATCAAGATAAAAGGTTTATATGCTTTCATTATAGCAAAATGTGATCCAATATTAAGAACAATCGTTACTTTTTGGCGTCACCATTCTAATCAATCTGATTTCCATCCTACTAACCATCCCATCCTTGACTTAATGCTGGATAAGGTAAAAGCTTTTCTTTGCCGTATAACAATAGTTTTACTTTTAGGTTCATCAGCTGAATCATCACTACAATTATCATATGCATCTTTCAATGTTTGATGGATAACATCATCCATTTTCACCTCTCCTGACCCCTATTATGACTGTTGATATCTGTCTTTGATGTTTAATCTGAATTGCCTGGAAGCACTTAGAGGCAGAGTTCTGGGTTTATGCACCGTAGAAAAGTTTCTGTCAGTACTTCTTTACAAGGTTCTAGCAAAGGTTTTCCCTGGAGTATTCTTTCATTTCTTTGAGCTTTTGAGTATGGATGCCAAAAATTTCAAAACAAACACATAAATTATTAATATAATTTTTCAGTCTTTCACTTCCGGTGCATTGGTGTCTGAAGAGGATAACTTAAACCCTTCTGAACATATACTTGTTGGGCTAGAATGCTGTGCATTCAGGCTTGTTCCATCTGCCCATTCCATTTCTACCATTTCCACTCAACATGGTTACATGTGCTGGGTTTCCAGCTGGTTTTTTAAATTTAATTACCCTTTATGTCATTGTATATTATAATCTTGTCCATGAGTGTGATGCCCAAAACATGTTGGTTTCTGCCATTGTGCAATACTGGTGGTGGTGGTGTTTTCTAAGAAGAGTTTGAATATCCCACCATTCTTACTGCTGTTAGAAATATATAGAAGCCTATCACAATATGCTAGACCTGTTGGGGTAGATTTTTGGTGTAATGATACTTAAGGTACTATTTGTCCCTCCACTGAGAGTTTCTTTATTGTCCAACGTATTTGGAGTATCTTATTTCCATTTGATAGAAATATGAGGTCCTCACCAAAATCACATATTGCTTTTGGATTATCTAGCACACCATTTGTTAGGTTAAACTCATAAATACTACTTGTTTTGTTTTGTATTTTGTTCAAATTTTCAGATAGCACATTAAATAGTCTTTGTAGTCTTTTTGTTCATCTATTAAATTAAACTCTACGCATTGCTTATGAAGATCTCTCTTGTTGAATTGTCTTAATTTGGAGATGACCAATAATATCAGCACTACTTTTTTCTTTACAAAGTGTACTACAAAACAAAATACTATCATTATAGTACATCTATTTTGTCAGTAACCAGTAAAAGATCATCCTGGCTATGCAACCTGGCTTTGTAAAGCTTACATGTTCTATCTGAAACTAATAAAAAAAACCAGGGGTTGCAGACATCAACAGGTTCTTTGAGGACACCTTTTTCAATCCCCTTCCAGATCTCATAAATCTCTGAACAAGATGTTGATATGAACCTGTTAATGTTGTTTAACTTTTCAATGAATTTCTCTGGCACATCTCTAATACAACAGAAAAAAATCTATCTGATTTTTTTCCCAAATAGATTTTCTCTGAAAGAATGTTCAATTTTCAATACTATTGTCTTTGTGAATGGCTCGTAGCATGGTTATACTTGTTCTATCATTACCTGAAACCAATTACCTTGCCTATATTGGCTATCTCAGGAAAAACCTCTGTCAGCATAAGTGACTTATATAATGTTCCTAAATTGTTTTTTCATAAACTTTTCCATGGCAGATACATAACTGTCCTCACAGTCCAATGACCAAACAGCCACCCACAGCTTTTCACATTTAATACTCATACCTAAATATTGATCACCTGCTCTTAATAATGAATAATGAAATTCATGTTCTTTAACCATCTCTGCAAGGGCATCCTTTACTGCACATGTCATGAGGTTTTAGTGACTTACATTCAAAATTTAATTAAACTACATTTTATTTATGTCATACCAATGAGTATAGCATAAAATCGTAGTTAATAATCTATATTTTAATAGTATGTAAGTTTTTAAGTTAATTTTATAAGGCAATATCATGTGTATTCTTTATTTACTATTATAAAAGTAACTAAAATGTAAAAATAGGAACCTTTTTAGGTTAGCTAAAGTTAGGTTAGGGAAAATAAATAGTAATAATAATATAATAAACAACTTTTCACAACGCACACACATATGCAGCTAGGAGTAGCTCATGGGTAATGTAATTTGATAGTGTAATGTGATCCCCACATTCCCCAAGTGATTTACAACTTATAATGGCATAAATAGTAGTTAAACATGGTTCAAAGGGCAATAAAACAATAAAATTTAAGAATAAATAGGTGTATACTGCTATGAGCTTAAAACTACTTAGGATAAACAAATATAGTTTCATTTTACAATATGAAGTTATTCTAGAAAAATAAAAAGGGTAATTTACATTTTTTTTGGTGGTTACAAGGTTGGTTAAATTGACCAACCTTGTATAGAGATAGGGTAGAGTAAATAACAGATAAAATATAAAGTTTTCCTGAAAACAAACATTTGAAATGTATTCAGGAGGTTTTAGAGATTATGTAAATAAAATTTGAGATTTTTAAGATGAAGAAAAGTCTTTTTAATGTTAACATGAAAATCACTTTGCACTCGGACTAGTAAAAAAAAAGACGATATAATCACGGACAAATCTTTTATTAGTTTATACTTCACAAAAAAATCTGATTTTTTGTGTGTGAAAGACTTGTAATGTTTATTGAAGTCTGCCAAATTTTGTAAAGATATACTTACTACATTAAAAGTTAGTAGTATCAAAACTATAATGAGTTTAAACAAGTCCAAAGTGATCACGTGGTCAGTCAGTTTGACCGAGTCCATGTAGAGAGAGTTAATCTGGCAGTTAGTAAACACATCATATGGTCATTTCTTATGATGTAAAATTTGATCATAGAAAACTAACTAAAACATGATACGGGCACTAAGAATACTTCTTTGATAAAGCTGCATTATTCAATATTCAAGAGCAGAGAAGGAAGGGAGTGAGTAAAATATTCAATACTGTTTACTAAAGAGGTTCCACATCATTTTTATTCAAAACCTCATAGATCACAGGTTGTTAAATACATATTCAGGTGGAATGTTGTTTTTGAAACCTTTGAAAATATCCCAAGTTGAATGTTTGCTGAAAACCATGAGAGCTTCAAATATGTGCTTCAGAAACTAAATTACCAAGTGCTGTATATAAAGCAAGAATCTCATCCTAACTCAGTGTGATATTTGTATAAAGAAGTTATTCCATGCAATAAAGAAGAAAGCTGTCCAAAAATTTAAATTAAATTCATAATATTTAGTTTCCTATAAATGTTTATTGTAAGTGCTATCATTTTTAATTTGTGTTACTCATACATTAAAGTGATATAATATAAAATCTGAAATTAAAAAAGCAACATCGTTTTTTAATATTTTCTCCATTTTGTGGATTTTGAGCAGATCATAAAAGAATTTACCAGAATTTTAGTAATATAAATCAACACTAACAATGAAAGTTTTTGAAATTAATTTTACAAATTACAAGAAAAGTGACTGCTAACAAATTTTAGACTATTAACTTTTATCTAAGAATATTTTTTGTCTTCAAGCACAATAATTCCCTTTCCATTTTACGTTATATTAAATGTTTTTCTCCCAGTAGACTTATGTTGATTGTATCTTATTTTAGATTAACATTCTTCATATAAACGAACTCCTGTCAATTCATTCCATCAATTCTTTCTTAACATTTTGTGTCAAAGTAGAGAAACTGCCTCTTACCTTAGAGTAACGTTTTTTGTCTAAGTAGACTTCTGTATTTGGTATCACTCCCAGCACTGTTTGATGAGGACTAAAAAAAGATATTAAAGCAACAGATTACTATAATTACAATACATTCTATTTGTCAAACTGAAATACAAAGAAAACACAAAGATACGCTTTCCTAACTGGATTTAGCATTATCAAGAAAACATTATTTTATTCTATATGATTGAGATGGTGATGTTTATTTGTTTGTTTGTTGTTAAGAACAAAGCTACACAATGAACTATCTGTAATCTGCCCACCACAGGTAGCTAGCATTATAAGACTACAGACTTACTGATATGCCACTAGGAGCTGAGATGGTGATGACAGCATAACTTGAAGAATATGTTTCATATTAATGGTTTAAAACACTTTCTGATATTCAGGTGACTGTTTTGGGCTCACATTAATGGTTTGAAACAATTTTTGTTATTTTGATGACTGTTTTGAGCTCACATTAATAGTTCAAAATACTTTCCAATATTTAAATGATTGTCTGAACTCACATTAATGGTTTCAAACAATTTCCAATATTTGGAATATAGTATAAGAAATAGAAACACTATCTGGAATATGTTAGAAGATTTTTGTGTTAAGAAGCAGAACCACTGATTATGGTATATTTAGAAGAAAGTATTAAGATACAGAATTACTAATTAGAATATATTTTTGTTAAGAAGCAGTATCACAAATATGAATAAGTTTACAGCACACAACTAAGAAGCAGAGCCACCGATTATATATCTAAAAAATTATTATAATTATGAAAGTTGAATCATTATTTACTTTTTGTTAAACTCAGCAGATTATCCATCAGACCACTACAACTTTACTTACTTTACTGATCGATAAATAACTGTAAGAATGGAAAAAATAACACCTGTCATCAGTCCTATGTCTACATCCAGCAGCACCACAGACAGGAATGTCACAATCCAAATCAACTATAGGTACAAAGCAAAAGGAAAAAGAGGTGCTTCAATT